TAATGTTGTTAGCACAGGTAGCTTCCCTTTACAGCAGCAGAACTAACCTCTCGCTCTGGGCACAAACAGACTGCTGTGTCTTCAGGGCCAGACAGGTTTATCTTCTGTTTTCTCAATTCTTCGCTCAAAGTGCCGTATTTTTCGCCGAGTCTTGTAGTTTAAGATGTTATTCCTTCAGCACCGCTCTGGTGGAGCCACTACAGACGCACTGGACTCACCCCTGAGCGCGGCGCTGCGGCGTCGCGCGGCGCCTCGCGGCGCGGAGCCTCGCGTCGCGGAGCGGCTTTTTAAAATGTAACTTTATTATATTTTTACATAAATGAGCCACGGGCCGTGTCAAATCTCTTGGCGGGCCGGTTCCGGCCCGCGGGCCGTATGAATGACACCCCTGTTTTAAGACCAGAAACTCTCTTCATAAAAAAACAAGACTCAAATCTCAAAAAACCTTCAAACTTTAAAATATGTATTATGTACTTTTGTACTGTGTGTTTAATTATCTATGCATCCTTGGGTTTCACTTTATGGACTTTCCCTTTTACACTTGAACATTTATCTCAGCAAATATTCTACTAATTAAAAATAATTGCAGCCTTTTCAAATGAAGTCAATATGAATTGGAGCACATTTCAGACCAGGCTCCTGTGCTGTCGAGCAAGGTCAGGTGCATAGTCAAAACAAAAAAGTCACCGCTTGCAATGTGAATTGGGTGAATTGGGTAGAGTTCAACTCAATAATATACTTTTACAGCTAATCCTAATTCCCTCTTTCTTTTTAGACGAAGTCTATAATCAATAATCACTTTTTACACAGATTCTAATTTAAATGTTTGAAAAACGGCTTTTGTAACTAAAATAAAAATACATGAAAAAATTCTCACAAACAGCTATGAAATATATCAGAGATACAATAATGGACTCAAAAAATAAGCAGCAGATTTAAAAAGAAAAGCAAAGCTTTTTTGTACTAATCTTTGGATTTAAAAAAACATAAAAAACAAAAAAAACACGTATTCACTAATGGTGTTTAAAAATGTTTAACTGTGTCATAACACAATGTTCAATGTCAAATTTCGCAAATTTAACGGAATAAAAACTATGAAAAACCAATCCTAAACGCAGTAGCTCCCCTTTAAATCAGAGCAGAAGCAGCATCGCAGCGAGGGCGGGGGGGTTCCTGTCACACAGACGTGCACACACACAGGCAGAAAGTAGTGTTTTAGCAAAAATGCAAAAACAGAAAGAAGAAGAACTTTCAAGATTACTTTTTTAAGCGAATACAACTGATGTTGTAGTTTATACTTTTGTCATCCAAGTCTAGAATTGATCACTTTCAACACTTGTAACAAAAGGCACTCTTAGTGTTTAACGTTTCCTTCTATTTTATCGAGGTAGCAAACTAGTTTAAACTCCAAATCTCTTTCTAAAAAACAAAAACAACTGTTGGATACAACCCTCTCATAGCTCAACTGTAGATAAAACTCGGCAAAAAATGTAAATAACTCACAAAAGCTCTCATAGCTCAACTGTAGATAAAACTCGGCATTCTCCGGTGAACTCTGTTCACGCCAAAAAACGAACTAAAAACAAAAACTCCCTTTTTCTGTATGTAATTTAAACCGTGATCACTGAAATATTGTTGCTTATGTACTTTTGTCATTTATCAGCCTGAAATTCATCAATTTCAAAGCTTTTGTAACAAAGGCCTCTTTAACACATTTCCCTTTTTATTGCTTTTATGTTTACACCATGGTTTCACTTAGGATCCTTCACTTTTATGGCCTTTACACTTATGGATCCTATACACTTTATGGATCCTCACTTATAGCCAATACACTTATGGATCCTCACTTATGGCCAATACACTTATGGATCCTTCACTCACTTTATGGCCAACACTTATCAGGTAGCAACCCTGTTTTTAATCTAATCTGATCTATAGATATATGACATTTGGTAGACCTCAAAACAGACCATAATTTAGTTCACTCAATTAGCAGACTTTGAATAAACAGGTGTCCGCTCTTACCTTTTGTCGAACAGGGCGCCAGGCACCGTCAGAAGTCCACCAAAAATCAGTTTTTCCACGTCCAACCGGGTCTCCAGAACATGAACCAGCGCTCACTAGTACCGGGAACTAGTTTCCACGTCAAAAATTCCCGGAATGTGGACATGGGAAAACAATTTTAAACGCTCAGTCCAAAAAACAGGACACAGAAAAAATATAGTGAGAGAGCGAAAAAGAGTCCCGGAGCCGGTCGCCTCTCCAGCCTGCTGGACCGCTCCCAGGCCCCCGATACTCTCAGCTCTCCCACGCCGAGAAAAAGAAACAAAGAAAACTCCCTCAAAACAATCCATAGAATGGCACACACTGAGCCGCGCATTCTCCACCAAATCTGTTAAGGATTCAGCAGACAGAGACGGATCGTGGTGCGCCAAACTCTGGAAGTTTATTTAAGTTTCTCTCAAGTTCCAGTTGTTTCAATTGTTTCTTTCTCTCAGACAGAATAAAGTCAGTACACAGTTTATATAGTCATTGTCACGTCACACATCGAAAGACGTACGTGTCACACAGAGACAGTCACATCATAGTCAAAATAATCAGAGTCCTTGTAGAGTCCTGCACGTAGGCCATATTGCTATCTAATACTAACAAATAGTATATCATATCTATCTCAAGTTCCAGTTGTTTCAATTGTTTTTTTCTCTCAGACAGAATAAAGTCAGTACACAGTTTATATAGTCATTGTCACGTCACACATCGAAAGACATACGTGTCACACAGAGACAGTCACATCATAGTCAAAATAATCAGAGTCCTTGTAGAGTCCTGCATGTAGGCCATATTGCTATCTAATACTAACAAATAGTATATCATATCTAACAAACATACAAAAAACACTAGTCACTTTTCATATTCTTTAGAGATTTGTAACCTTAGTTAAGTTTTGAATTGTAGCAAAGTCAAATCTTATGTTAATTACTTTCATATTTTTACTCTAAGAACAGAAACACATCTTGATTTAACTTTAGTTCTTGCTTTAATAAGAACTAAATATCAATAAATGATACAACATAATAAATAAATACACTTTTGAGATTGTAACGGTTTGTTCTTAGTTTGAAGAAGCTCAAGATACACTTTAGGATGTTGTTATTTATTACCCTATTACCTGATGAAAAGCCCTGTCCAGAAAAAGACGATTTGAGGGCCTAAGGACAGTGATGGGACATTTAAGGGCATTTCTGGATATTTATGAACATTTCTGGACAATGATCATCCTGCTACATATAGACCAATGGCTGTTTGAAGAAAAGGTCCATGTAAAATTTCCTAATTAAAGTCAAATCTGAAGAAAAAGTCTCTTCACCTCGACTTTATTATAGAGATTAACCCTTTAATGGTTTCCTCAACCATTTGGTAGATCAATTTTTGAGTCAATAGATCTACTTAAAGCTTGGAACCGAAATCTACTTCTTTTGGGCATCTCACTGGGTTACAAAATAAAGATACATAGAGACACAGCTGAAACACAGACAATCAAACAGGGTAACAGGAGAAGACTAAAACTCCCAAAAAACAAAAATCCACACAAGGACAAGGCTGCTTTAATAGACCAGTCATGTGGTGAAAACAAGGGAAGGACTCAAAAAGGCAGGAATGCTAAATAAAATGATTTGATTTCTGTGTTAAAATTAGCGTCATGCTTCTTTAGTAAAAAACATACTCCTTGTATTGTTCCCGTCAGCCCAGTTGAACCAACGCCTGATCTGGGTGATGGTTTCATTGTCTGTAAAGTCTTTGTGGATCAGTGCTTGTCTGTAGTCTGCTCTCTCCTCTCTCTCTGCAGTAGCGTGTTGCTCTTTTTACGGCCTTCTCTTCAGGAACCCCAGCTCCACAAATCTCTCTGATTTAGGCCTGTTCCCATCCGGGCCGTCCGACTCAGCACAAGTGTCATGTGCTGTTGCCAATCCGCTGTCAAGGCGCCCTCTGCTCTGCGATTTATGCTGCGCTCTCCTGCTTTATTAGCCATAGATTACTGCGGCCGCGGACTCTGGACGCTAACGCTGTCGAGGGAGAACCGCATTGACTCAGCGCCGATGCCAGAACGGGGTAAACTCTCAGTAAATAAAAGCGTCTAATTATCATCAGTAGTGTAATTAATAGACCCGGGCGGCGACTTTTCTTTTGTTGTGTGTGAAGGAAGTTCGATGTGGCAACGCACATATTGTTTAAGATTAAGATTAAGAAATCCTGCATTTGAGGAACGGTGGGGAAATGTCACTGTTGCATTACCAGTTACAGAACAGTAGAATAAATAAACAAAGATGATGAACTAACTCAAATAAAATAAGATCACATTTCTAACTTTAGCATTAAAAGAAGCAAGTATAGAATCTCTAGCTGTAGCATAATAAGGAAGCAAATCTAAAATTGCCTCCCCGTTTTTAGTATTGAGTCTAGGCACCAGCAGGAGGCTAGTCCCTGTGCTCCTCAGAGTCCCAGCAGGAGGCCAGTTCCTGTGCTCCTCAGAGTCCCAGCAGAGTTGGTTCATATGGTGGTACTGTGGAGGGTTAGTTCTTTTGCCTCACAGTCCTCGTTCCAATCCATGTGCCAGACCAGGCCTTTCTGTGTGGAGTTTGCATGTTCTAGCTGTTTGCTGGTGTGCTAGCTGTGCGGCAGACACTTCTATCATCATTGTGTGAAGAGTCTAGAGTTAATGGAGATCACAAGAAATTGTAAAGCGCTTTGTTTGACCTTCGTCTTTTAAAAGCGCTATATAAAAAAAAGAGGACTTATTTCCTTACATGATAGTAAAGAGAAATACTATCATAATGTGTAGGTCTAGCATGCGCCTCCTGCATGGCGACCCGACTATGTATGGAGTGAGAGGACAAATACCTACAAGATTTGTAAAGCGCTTTGTGACTATGGTCTGTGAAAGGCGCTATATAAATAAAGATTACTTACTTGCTTACATAGTCTTCATTATTGTGTTGCAGAACTCTGGTATGTCAGCCACCTCCTCTCCAAACGCCCCAGTGACTGGCTACAAGAGGATGGTGATCCCGACTCAGCCTCCACTCACCGCCACCAAGAAGTCTGCTCCCAAACCCCAGAGTCCCGCAGCCGGTCATACGACGCCCCCTTCCTCTGGAAAACCTCTGTCCCAGACCCCAGTCCCCCAGCCGGCCTCATATGCCACAGCATCCACCCCCAGCCAGCCCACCTTCAATGTCCAGGTGAGCTGCTGTTGGAGGAAATATAGATGTTACTTCTTAACAGAGGCGTCCCTTGCCATTAGGCAAGTTAGGCAGCTGCCTGGGGCCCCCAAACCGGCAGGGGGCCCCCGAGGGCCGACTGATTTGACACAAGCGGTCAACTTGTACAGGCTAAAACAGCTACCTGCAGTGACGAGTTGGCGGATAAAATCTTTTCGTTGGACAGTTGAAAAACCCGCCTGGGGACAATTACACATTGTATGCAATGGTGGTGTAGTGGTTAAGTTGTAGCGCTTCTGCCACGTTGACTCGGGTTTGAATCTGGATTAAACTATATGTATTATATTCAATGACAGATTGCTCAAGGATGGTAAAAGGTAAAAACAAGCCATTTTTTGCAGATTTAATCGAAGAGCCTACTCTTTAATTTGGCCCTCGGTGTTTATATTGTCAAATAACTGAATATTCTGTGGCTTAGGTCAAATCCCCTCAAAACACTGGCAGAACGCACTTCCCTGATCTGAAAAACGTCTGGTAGTCAATGAATCAATAATAATGACAATTTCACCATTAAACATAAATTTTAGATCATATTTTTTTATAATTGAGAAATCTTTATATTAAAATAATTATATTAAGTAATAGATATAGCATTTTACCTTATTATTAAATATATAATTAAACCTACTGTAGTATAAACCTTTTTATGTGGTTATGTTATGTAATAAAACATACATACATGTTCGGTAGAATTAGTCAAAATATTACAATTAAACAGGTATTTAAATGGTATTGTGATTAGAGTTTTGTTCGGGCCTGAAAAATCAAGCCCGACCCGGCCAGAGCCCGCTAATGATAAGCCCGAGCCTGTATAAGCTCGACTAATGAACGCTGTATAACAGGCCCGAGCCCGACAGAACCCGACACATCTGATTTCCTTGTTGTACGCACTCATCTTCCAATTGCAAGTTTAGTCTCCACTTTTGAATTTGTTTTGTCTCCACTCGATCCATTTCTACTATTGTTCCTGTTCGCTGTTGACCACAGCATGCAGCAGGAGACATGGGGATGATGCGTTCACGGCTCGCTGCTGCTGTAGGACACGCCGATTACGGTGTCATTAATATATTAACTTTTTTTATAACTTGCTGTAAATCAACGGACATTGTTATTAAAATATATATATATATATGCATATCATTATGTATACAAATAATTAAAAAATAATTATAATAATGATAAAAAAAATATATATATTTAAAAAAAAGAAGCCCAAGCCCGGCACGAACCAGACAGCTCAGCGCTGAAATGAGACCCAAACCCGGCCCGAACTCCGGTCGGGCCTCGGGCCTGCTCGGGCTCGGCCTGAAAAGCGAAACTCTAATTGTGATTCATTGATATTTGAATTGTATATATCTAGTTTTTCATCTTCTTCTCAGGTGAGATCCGCCCAGCCAGGACCCCAGCAGCACCCGTCCCCAGCAGGACAGGGGTACGGCCAGCACCCCATCCGCAGCCCAACTCAGGTCCAGTATATGCCCGCCCAGCCAAAGGGTCCCGACTTTGCCTACGGACCTCCCCAGCCGGGCTTCTCTCCCATGAGCCACGGAGGGTATCATCCCGAGCACCAGCCCCAGAGACCAGAGCCCGTCCAGAACCAGGGGTACCAGGCTGCGGCCCCCAAGAAGACCTACATCACAGACGTTCCCCAAGGCCTGTCGCCGTACGCCCCTGGACCCATGGTGCCACCGAAGGTAACTGCCAGGTTTAGAGGCGCACGGTTTGGGGCAGAATATCTGATTATTATATTTCCAACCAACACCGTGATTGCGATTTTTGGTGTTTGTTCTGTATGTTTCAAAAGTATAATTTAGTTCATAGTCGAAGTATCGTTTAGAGAGTTCCATCTGGAGAAGCACGTACACATCAAGAGATTACCTTATACACAATTCCTCCTCATACATTTCAGATCAGAGCCAGATCCCGTCTGACCTCTGAAGCTAAGCAGGGCAGGGCCAGGCACATACTGGTTGGAATGAATAATGTCATGTGAATCGTCTTTGAGTGTCCAGAAAAGCCCTATATAAAACCAATCCATTATTATTATCTTTCACAAAATCAACTAGTTTTTTTTATTTACATCACATGTCACCTCAAACTCCTGTGTAGAACCCATACATACAGGCCCTGGTTCAGGTCTGTGCCAAGCGTGTTTTAAACATATTCATGGGTCTTGTGTCTACCAACTCTTGTTCGTCTCTCTGGTCTAACTCTACTGTCACCTTTGATCATCTCTGAACCTTTGGGGACGTTTAATCCTCCAGCTCGCTCTCGGTTTGACTCGGAGGCCCTTCAGAGTTATGATATCCTAGAAAACCTCCAGAGGGAATAAGACGCTCACTTTCCTTCAAGCGTGTTATCTAACCCTCTCTGGGATATGGCCCTCATTGATCTATTACAGGGACCAGATAGGCGTTCAAAGGAATCGTTTCTCAGCTTTAAACGGAGTAGACCTCATGTTTTCTCAGGTCTTCTAAATGTAGGTGTAACTCAAAACTTAAAGGTATATAGGATGATTTTCTTCTACCGGGTGGATACTCAAGACTATTATAGACTCCTAATTGTCATTATCATTCTGGTGATATGTGACTAGAGGCCGTCGTACGTGCTCGTCAAACAAGACCGGAGTGTTTTTGGGAGATTACCACTGATGTAGCCTGGCCTAGCCATCCGTACACTCCGCTCAATCATCATTTCCCTGCATGCAACGTCTGGGTCTGGTCCCTGGGTTAGCGAATACAATCGCTTGAATTTCGACCGACCGTTCAGAGAGCGCGGAAGGCAGGTGTTGTAGTTAGTTGCGGGTAGGGCTGGGCGATTAATCGATTTTAATAATTAATTCAAGTTTTACATTTAGGGCGATTTCTTTTTTTAAAAATTCGATTTTTATTTTCTCCATCGCAGAACTAAAGCGCTAACGCGCTAACCGCGGGTCTATGGTGTTGAGCAGTCATTTTGAAGCTAACCTAATGCTAACAGTCTCCCTCTGGCCTGATGCTCGCTCTCACAGTTGGTGCTGTTGCAATAACACTTCAAACGTTCAAGAATCAGACTTTATTTAAATCGCCAGAACACACACACACACGCACGCAAGCCCCGGTCGCTATGTTCGTACGCCATGTTCGTACGCCACATCTTTCACGCTCTCTCACGCTCGTTATTCCAAAGCGCACTCCCGTGTCCGTGGCGCGCACACACTCGTGTCCCACTGAGCCGCTGCACTTTGGGGAAAGACACGTCTCACACATTGCTCTCATTGCTCTGATACAAACAACGTGTTCCCCGCTGTCTGTTAGCTACAGTAGCTGCTACAGTAGCTGCTAGCTACAGTAGCTGCTAGCTACAGTAGCTGCTACAGTAGCTGTTAGCTACAGTAGCTGCTAGCTACAGTAGCTGTTAGCTACAGTAGCTGCTAGCTACAGTAGCTGTTAGCTACAGTAGCTGTTAGCTACAGTAGCTGTTAGCTACAGTAGCTGTTAGCTACAGTAGCTGTTAGCTACAGTAGCTGCTAGCTACAGTAGCTGTTAGCTACAGTAGCTGTTAGCTACAGTAGCTGCTACCTACAGTAGCTGTTAGCTACAGCATCAGAATGTAAACAGGAAGCTCGCACAATGCGGGAGTCACTGAAGTTAGTATTAGCGCCACCAGCTGGACCGAGCGTTGTACTACAGCACAGTTACTCAGGCACAGTTGAAAGAACAAGCATGAAAACCCGAGGAGGCTTTTGGAAAAGACTGTTACGACATTTCTATTTTGAGTAATCAGTTTTAAAAATGTGATATTTTATGTAAATAATGCATGTGTTTAATAGGATTGATATATTTGCGATGGGCCTTGTTTGTATGATTTAAGTTATTTTGAAGGTGCATAGTGTCATTGTAAGTGAAGTTATTATAAAACTGTTAAGCTACATTTTCACTGTTTACAATGGCAGAGCCATCTCGTTTACAAGCATGTTTTAAGGCTTAATTCCTGTTACACTTATGCTCCATGGGGATTTAGATTAAACTGCATAAAGGAAAATATATTTCTTTGTCAGTTGTAGTTTGTTTTTAAATAGAAAAAAATAAATCGATTAAAATCGAAAATCGGATTTGGTGTGAAAAAATCGGAGATTTTTTTTTTTTGCCATATCGCCCAGCCCTAGTTGCGGGTGATGTCAAGAGTTTGCGTCGAACAGGAAGGTCGTAGTTTGGCAATGGCGAAAAATGCGATAGTAAAGTAATCCTGTCTGGTTCTATCAAGAAATTGAAGCCGGAGAAATAGGACGGGCTCCGTTAGCGGCAAAGGAGATGGCTAGGCTAAATGCTAACGACAGACTCGGGCGCATTACATACGTCACGGTAAACTTAGATCCAATCGTTTCAATCTGCAAAAGGAGTTAACCCCTCCCACCTGTAAACGGAGCTCAATGGAGCAAATCCAGACCTTAGTATGAAATGTAATTTGTACTATGGTGTGGTACGACCAGGCTACCACTGATGCTTCAGTCGCAAAGTTCCAGATAAAGTTATTAATTCTATTTGGAAAAATCCATTTCAAATCACTGGAATGAATAATGACATGTGAAGCGTCTTTGAGTGTCCAGAAAAGCGCTATATAAAACCAATCCATTATTAAGAGAAAGCAGAGAAAGAAGGAAATAAGAGCACTCAGATTGCACACATCAAATAAGTCTATTATTTAAGATAATAGACTATGAAATTAAGATTATTATCTTTCACAAAATCAACTTGTATTAGGTTTTCTATTTACTGTGCATGTCACCTCAAACTCCTGTGTAGTAAAAGTTATCTATGTCTATATTATCTGAGAAAGGAAAAAGTGCAAATCTTCTTGTCAACAGTGACTTGTGAACAGAGCGTGCGCGAGGAGAGGTTTATCAGGACTAAGTTTAAGGGCAATTACTCAAGCAAACATAACTATTATTTGTCTGTCTCAGCTCAGTCTTGTAATAAGGCTCCACTTTAGAGAAATCAACAAGAACAGAAACATTCTAAAATTTTCACTGTTTGTTTTTTACATTTTTAAACAAAAAATAATCAAACATCGGCTATCAACAGAAGCTTTTTAAAAATCGCAGAGTTTTCCTGCACATCTGTAAATAAACTCACAGGTTTTCAAGCAAGGCCCTGCGCAGGACTGACATATTTCAGCTTTACGCACGCATTCTTGCAAGCACCTGTCTGTTAAATCAATCCTTTACACGTAGAATTTAAAACATTGCACAAATTCAAAAACTCACATGGAAAAACCACGGCTGGAATGGATACGTGGTTAGAGCCATAGAGCGGATCCCTCTCTTAATATGGGCCTCCAAGATATTTCTCACTTTTCCAACTGGGTTTCTAGATTAAGGGTGTATTCAGACCTGCACATTTGCTCCACTTTAAACGGACCAGGATTCGTTTGGAACTCTGATCCGAAGCTTTTATGCAGGTCTGAATACACACAAACGAATCCAGGTCCGGACCAAAGAACCGAACCGAGACCCACTTTTTTAGGTGGTCTCGGTCCGCTTCCAAACGAATTCTGGTCCAAACTGAATCAGGTCTGAATACATCCGGTGTCGATCCGACACAACTCCAAGATACGTGCGCATTTTTTGGGCTTAACAAGCCGCAGACAGAAACTGAGGAATTCGCCACACAGCGGCTAACTATGCTGCTAACTATGCTGCTATCTATGATGCTAACTATGCTGCTAACGCTACACAACAACACTGAGCCGTGTGCAGACTGGAGCAGTGAGGAGACGCTGTGCAACAGGCTTATGGAGTTAAAACTGTTCACAGTATACATTGATGTTAATGGCAGCATCTTCAAATACTTTGCATTATTAAAAACCTGACACTGTTTGACTCACGTCTCAAAAAGAAATATCCCGCATCATGTAGTGAATTGTGTTCTTTGGTTCCTACCTGATCCTCAGCGTCTGTTTGTCCCGTGGTTATTATAGATCAATGGTTTATCCACTATGCTGAACAGGGCCATTATTATAATAGATCCATGTGTGGGACAGGGCACGGAGCGTAGACAGTCTCCTTCGGCTTTCTCCTCACGCATTCTCCGACGCTGTTCCAATATTTAAAACAACGTGTTTGGCCTGTGTCATATGAGCTGCTGCTGTTGATGATGAAGGTGGTTTTGCTCTAAAAGGAGCAAACAGGCAGAGCAGACATGCTGCACATACGAGCCCTCAATGTTTTCTGCCGGTTCCGCGTCTATCCTCCGTGAGCTCTCGCTGTCTAATAGGAGCGCCGATCGTCACACGTGTCGATATGTTTATATAAAAAAGTTCCCTTGCAAAAAGGACAGTCTGAATATGAACCGGAGCAAAAGAAAAAAGTTTGGTCTGCTTTTGATTTGGATCAAGCAAGCGGAGCAAAGGACTTTTCAGGTCTGAATACACCCTAAGAGATCCTTGATTCGTCCCATAGTGGGGAAATGTCAGTGTTGCATCACCAGTTAACAGAAGGAATGAGGAGCACACAACACAAGATATACAGTATGAACAATAACAATACACTAAAACAAAATGAAATCTATAAATTTAGCCGTGGGAGGAGACCAGTGCCTCCTGTGTGTCTGTTATTATTGCTTTTCCTGTGTTTGAACTGTATGATTGTCTGATCTGTGTTGGCAAATCGACAACTTTGAGGTCTTCAGAGATCTACAATTTATTATTATTATTA